GTAAAGAAAGAGCTTGTTTGGAGGCACTTATGCCGTTCACTGAAAAAGAATCCTTCTCTTTGCCTGACTACAGGAAAGCACTGAGAGATGAATAGGAACATGGCCTGTTCAGCCGGATCATGTAAGTACATGAAAGAGCTTATAAAACCTTAAAGAACTGTCCATTTGAGCACTTTATGTGCCCAATACAACATATTACCTTATTTAACCTTCAGAACAGCTCTGTGAGTAGGGACAAACATCTCCAGCTTACCCATCACAAAACAGAGTTTTCCACTGGTTAAGCAAATTGTTTAAAGTCACCCGGGTCTGTCAGGTTCTAAAGCCACCATACACTACCTTTTCTCTGCAGATATAGCAATTGGGACAGGGAACTAATAATTGAATTAAAATTCCATGAAAGCAACTATAAATTTAAAAAACCTTAGCACGATGACACACAGGCAAAAACACCATATTATATTTAGATAATACCTTGGTTAGGCCTTTACGTCCTGATCCTATTCTACAAAGTATTAATATCTATATAAAACTACTTGAGAAAATCAAATGGCCTCCAGTTTAAGTGCCACACACACAGGGAAACAGCTGATAAACAATCCGGACTTCCGTGTCACTTCCCATTGGCCCACGAAGGGGAGGTGCCCACAGAGTTGACAGTCACTGGCTAGAATGGCCATTTTTGTCATTCGCGAACCCCGTCAGAAGAAAGGGACATAGCATTCTTGGATCACGGCAACAACAGGAGTCCTGTGCAACGTCTAGGGTGACCAAAGGGTCCCCAAGGGAGTTACGGTCCTGATTCCCAGGGGGTCTATATCCGGGTAGGCAGAAAGCGCATTTCATTTGGCCTGGCAAGATTAGTCTCCATTTGTCTACGCACACACAGACACAGCCCAAAACTTAACAACGCGCTTACTCAAACCAACGCCACACCTGGGCAAAGGCAATTGGGTACAGCAGGAAAAGAACAGAGAAGCCTGGAAACCCAGGCGCTACAATCCGGTTAATCGCTGTGCAAAAACGGGCAAGTTCCCGCCCCTTCCACGTAAGGTCTTGACAGCCACACCTGTCCATTTTACCAACCAGGTGGGTGGGGAGCAAATGAGTCACAAAGACCATTTTCTAATCGTGACCCCAGCACGATCCCGAGCCTCGCTGTGCTCCTTTGGGGCAAGCGGTGTTCCCCAGGCCGAACCCGAGAGGGAAGAGCGGCGAGACCGGCTCCTCCTTCAGCGCCGCTAGGAGCCTTTTAGGGGCCTGGTTTCCAGGACTGCGGCGCGCACAGAGGACTCCCACCCTCTCCAGGCCGGGACCCCGGAGCCAGCTGGAGGGTCCCTGAGGGCGCCCCACCGTGGGTGCGAAGGCACCCCGTTCCCGCGGCCGGCACGCCGACTAGGCCCGGAAAGCCCCTCTCTCCTCCCTCTGGCGCACCTCCAGCGTGTAGCTCTCGCTTATGCTCCGGTAGCTGTCCCAGGCCTCGGCCCGCGCCGCCTCGTCCATGTTGAGGCGGCTGCACAGCTCGTCGAACCGCTGCTGGATCTGACGCGTCGGCGACTCGGCAGGCTGCGCGGCGTCCTCGGCCTCGCCGTCGTCCTCCCCCTCCTCATCCGAGGCTGCCGCCGCCGGAGGGGGAGGCGGGGGCGGCGGCGACTGGTCACCTCCGGACGGCATAGCGCACCGGGCAGCCGGTCCGCAGATGAAGTGTGGGCCCGGGCCCGCAGCCATTCAAACCGCGAAGGGCCCGCCCGTCGGCCGCCAGCACCGCGACTGCGCCGCCGCCAACGCCGCGGGCCTCACGCAGGCACCCGTAGTTGTGAGCGCGGCCTGCTGGGAAATGTAGTCCACGCCGGAGGTCCGCGGGGCCAAAAGTCATGTTTAACAAAAAAAGAAAATGAGATCTTGTAGTCTCACTTGGGCTGAAATAAAGGTCCTTCTCCGCATGTTAAGCACATACTTCCCTTCTGTGAGACCATTCGGCAAGACTGTACTGAGAGAAAACGTCCAAGAAACATTGACGTCTGAACGTTTAGAATAAAAGTTGTTCCCAGAAATAGCACTTCTCATCGCCTGGAAGTACTTATGTAAAAAATAAGGATAATATCAAGGGCCTGTGTGCCTAAGTGCAAATCTCCTGATTTCTAGTTCTTTCCTACATTTTAATTTTATGTGAGCCTTTCAAATAATTATCGGATTTTTTAAATGCAGTAATTCTTTTTTCTATACAGTAAATTTACATTCACTGTGACATGTTTGTACTATCTTCAACCAACCACTTGATTTAACTTTATTCCTTTTTTAGTTTTTATTTTGCATCTTCATTTTATATATCTAGTAGAATCGAATCACTTTATTTCCAATTGTCCTCTTTTTTATTTTAATTTTTGAAATTTCCAATCCTCTTGACTTATAAATGGGTATAGTAGGAAATATTTTGAAGCTTGAGGAGGTGTTTTTCTATTTGTGTTTTGCTCAGAGGGATATGCTAGCTGAGGGGGGAAGAATGCTGGCACAAAAGGAGGAGTTTATGGAAGCTATCATGGCAATGAGGCAGAAATCTGCAGATAGGAGAGAAGCAGGTAGAGGCAGGTAACAGGATATCTCAGGAACAATTTTGAGGCAATGAAAA